GGAAAAAAAAAAAAAAAGAGACTGCACCTGTTTGGAAAATCCGAGTTGCAAACTTCTGACCATAGATAGCCATTTTCTGTCAAAGAAAGTTTACTTCAATTGAACAATCAAATTAAGCATGCTGCAAATGTATTCTCTGCAATAGAAAAGAAAAGAAAAACCCACAAAAATGCATAAAGAGAACAAAACTGCAGATGTCCCTTAGGCCAATTTCTTTTATGTATGTGAAAATTAAAAAAAAAAAAAATAAAAACTTTGCCAATCGATTTAAGATTAAATATTTACATTGATCAAGTAAAATACTACAGAGTCCTGGCAAACAAGTACTCCAAATACATCGAGCTGAAACCTCTCTCTTTGGCTCCTCTAAATTCAGAAAAAAGAAACAGTCTTCACTGAAGACAATGATGTATGTTACAGATCCAGATCCGAAAGCAAAAAAGGAAGTAGGACGTTTTCAGTCACTAGAGAACATGTGCTCATCACGCTGCCTGGGCTCCCCCGAAGCGCTGGAAGTCCTCAGTTCCAAGTCACTGCATAGGTGGGGCCGCGGGCACTGAGCGGTTTGCTGCCTCCCTTCCAGCAACAGGGCGCGTTCCTTCTTGGAGAACTCTGGCAAGTTGCCGCCCTTGGCGATCGCCCATCCCAGCGCTGCGTAACCTTGCCTAGCAGGCATTGGCAGCTACTTGCCCACACTGGGGACCACAAAAGAGAAAGCTGCATTTCTTTGCCGCTGTCAAAGAGAAACCACTGAGGATTGATGGCACGAGCCAGCCAATCGAGGGGCACAGGCCCGGGGGCTCACGTGGACTGCAGGGAGTCCACTTGGAAGACGTTCTGGTTGGAAGGGGTGGTGAAGTACAGCTGCTGGTTGGACGCACGATTGTCACAGGGGCTGCTGAGGCCCAGAGTCCGCTCAAAGTCCAGCAGCTGGCCCATGAAGTTGAAGTTGGGTGAGATGTTGGATTTCTTCATCTTGACGATGTCGTAGGCATCATTCATGGACAAGTTGAGCTTCTGCATGAGGTACGCCACTGTCACGGTGACCGAGCGGCTGATCCCTGCCAAGCAGTGCACCAGGACCCCGCAGTTCTTGCCCCGAGCTTCGTCTGCACAGAGGGAGAGAGAGGAAGCACATGAGACAACAGCTATGAACTGCTCCAACTGGGGCCCAGTCTGGTCCCAATGACTGCTAGTGTAAAGCAGGAGGAACCCCTTGGAGAAAAGGGGAGCTGCACCAGGTAACAGCCAATGGGGAGATGGGGCAGACACCTCAAGTGCTTGCAGAAAACTAGTGAAAAACAAATCAGGGTTGAAAGAAAACAAGACGTAGTGAAGAGTATCCCCGGAACAGTGCAGACTTGTATTAGCATTGGGATCTAAAGACCCTATTTGTATTACATTTCTGACAAAAAAAAAAAAAATTCTTTCTAGGTAGATTTGCCCCAGCGGGTGAATGCTGGAAGCCCAGCAATATGTCACTGAATGCTTTTGATACAGACAAGCAGACTGCAAAGGTCTATTAAATTATTCTCCAACTGTTGTGCTGCTAACAATGGAGGTATTCAGGCATTTTAAAAGAATGAGGGAAGTCACAGGGGACAGCCCATTAGGAGGAACAGGATGTCAACATTGCTTGAAAATGGGTTCCTTTGTAATAGGAAATGCATTACAATGCCTGGAGATTAGTTTCTTTGTGGCTCCCAGCCCACATTTCTTCCTGCTGTGCTCAGATTACCTACATTCTGCACTATTACCCGTATCAGTCAACCGGATTACAACACAGCTTTCCAACAGATAATATGATGCCCACAACCCCCCCTTCAGACCCCCCCATCAATTAATGATAATTCCACAAGAAAGGAGACATGGGTTACCATGGAAGTTGAGCAAGAAAAAACAATGCTGAGCTGAAAAAAGTAATACAACAGTTTGGAGGTGTGTTAGGGACAGTAGGTATGATCTATTCGAAAAGGTATAGCCCCAGCTATTTTCGCTCCAATGCCTACCAATTTCAGCAAGGGCTTATATTGCAAAACCAGCGGGTGCTATTATTTGAAGTAACGTTATTTCAGATCTAGCAGAAGCATTAGGGCTGAATGGGGTGCAGTTATTTACAGGAAATTTAAATTAAAAGAGCACACGTTTGAAAGTGGTGCAATTATCTACAAGCTGCGCCCAAGAGCAGCAAGGCCATAAATCTGAAGTTTCTTTTAATCCTACTTCTCACTTGGCAACAAAGGAGAACATTAAAGCATTGACTCAGGGGGTGGGATTTTTTTTTTCTTCCAACCGCTGTGAAATAGGGGAAAGAAAAAATAAATAAAAGCATTTTATATTTATATATGGCCAGGGCAGACTGTTCACAATTCCCTAAATGGGACACCCGAGGCTGGCAAGCTACCCCTGTCTGCTCAAAGTCCGAACACATCTTTAACATTCTCGTGACCTGTGAATGCGACTGATAATTCACCAGGCCTCTGCCAAACCTGGAAGGACACGCTTTCCCCGCCCTCGCAAAGGGAAAGGCACCTCGGAAAGTAAGAGAGCTGTGCAACAGCTGGGCCTCTGCTAAGAGACAAAAGAGATGGAGGGTTTTAAACTGTGCAGAGTGGAAGCAACTGGCGGGGACAGAGCACCGAGGAGAAGCAGGTCTCACCTATGAAAGAGATGGCCTCGGGGAAGAACTGGGACAAGTTCTGGCTCCAGTGATCGGAGATGGGGATCTGCTTATACTTAAACTCCCCGGCGTTCTCGAAGAGATTGGGCAGGTTGGGGGTCACGTTCAAGATGTACTTGATGCCAAACTCCTCCAAAACGTCCAGGTTGGTGGAATCCTTGGCGCAGCCCAGGTAGAGGTAGGGTAAGATCTCCACCGGGAAGGATGGCTGGTTGTTGGCCAGGGGGCTGCCGTCCGAGTCGGTGGCGCTGTTGGGGTCCCTGTCGAGGTCGGACTCGATGTCAGAGGAGGAGTCAGAGCTGATGCGGAGCCCCCCCAGGCCCAGCACGGGCAGCGGTGGGGAGCTGCTGCTGCAGGAGCTGTCGAGGTTGGTCTCGCAGTGCAGGGCAAACTCGGCCTGGAACTTACTGAAGCCGCCTGGAGGAGAGCAGGCGGGCAAAAAACAAAAACAAAACAAAAAACCAATGCAACCAGTGCAGCCGCTGCCCCCAGATGGGCCTCTCAACCACACTCCAGCTCTGCAAGGAAGCCGGAGAGTCCCTTTTGCCCCCTCCCTGCCTCCATGAGAGCCTCAGCCCTACAGAACCCCCCCCTTCTGATCTCCCCACCCTCCAGCTCTGCAAGAAGGCCAGAGCTCCTTCCCCCCATGACAGCCTCAGCCCTACAGAT